CCAAACACTAGGTGGAGCCAAGGGAACCCCATAGAAGGGGGGAGTGGGGAAGGGTTGCAGAAGCCAGAGGGGTCCGAGGAGACCACAAGAACAAGGCCAGTAGAATCAACCAAGCAGGGCTCACAGGAGTTCACAGAGACGAAGGGACAAACACAGATCCTCTGTGGGTCTAAGCTAGGCCCTCTGCATACATGCGTGTTATGGTCCTGTAGCTGGGTGTTCTTGTGGGACTCCTTACAGTGGGAGTAGCGGGTGTTTCTGACCCTTGCCTGCTCTTGGGACCATTTTCCTCCAGTTGTTGCCTTGTGCAGCGTTGATATGAGGGCTTGTGCCTACTCTTATTGCATCTTGTTATTGGGTTGTTGATATCCTGTGAGGCCTGCTCTTTTTTTTTATTAATTTTTCTTTTTAAGGGAACCTGAGGAGGAATGGATCTGGAGGAGAGGGCAGGTGGGGAGGAGAGGCCTGGGAACAGTGGAGGGAGGGGAAATTGCAGTAAAAGAGAAGGAAAAATAAAACACGAAAAAAAAAACCCACCCATGGATCCATCTCTCCAGCCCCCACCACATCACCCCCAAGATAAATAAATCTGAAGAAAAAACTTCTCATGTTTTCCAGATCCGCTTTCATTTTGTAGTTTATTCTTGCCAGTGTCCCTCGGGGGTCCCCATCATCTCTCTCTAGGAGCAGCTAATTTCAGGGCTTGATTTTTGTCTCCTCATCTGACCTTAGCTCTTCTCATGTGCTTTTCTCGTTTGTTCTTATTACACGCAACCCCTCTCTTCCTTCCGTTTCCTCTCATTAATAACTTCCACCGGAGTCTCCTGAGTCAGCCTCTAAATCACCTGCTCAATTCTGTCACCTTTGCCTTTTCCTGCTCTCCGCACATTTCCTCAGAGTGTACGCTCATGTTCCGAATTCATTTCCTTTGCTAAGTTAATCTCGCCATTTAAGGAAAAACGTACGAGCCGGGGAAGGGCCGTGCAGAAACAGTACCAGCCTTAGGTTAGACACAGCAGCAGAGATGGGCGAGTCCCCTGGCTCTCTTGGTATCTCCCTCTTATCTGTGAAAATGATCGGGGTGGTCCGGCACAGGTCGGAAACTCAAAGCCAGAGTCTAGGCAGGGTAAGTAAATGAACTGAAGCTGGCCAGCCAGGGACTGTGGGAAAAAGTGAGCACAAAGCAGTATTCAAAGAGAGCATTACCCCTGCTCGGCTCTGGTTACTGCCACAGGGACATGTTGATCACCCAGGGCAGACAGACAGTCCACATTTCAGTGGTTATCAAGAAGCTGATTAAAAGAAAGAAAGAAAATGTGACCGAGGAAGGACAAAACAGCCCCACACAGAGAGAGGACAGACGCCTACTCCATCCTGACTTTCAGTTGAAAGTCTTGAGGAAAATGATAGCTGACAGTAGTAATATACGCTTATTATCCCAGCATGGGGGCAGTGCTAAGGCAAGGGGGTTGTGAGTTCAAGGCCAGCCTGGGCTACATAACAAGACCGTGCCTCTAAATAAGACAAGTGAAGTCCTCTAATTTCAAAGGTTGACCGAATTATGAATCAAACAAAATGCATGTCGCCTATGGGTCGGATTTGATCCTGAGCTACTGTTTGTGGAAGTTAGATGAGATGGTGTGTGAGTGTGTTTGGATGTGTGGGTGTGTGAGTGTGTATATGTGATATGTGTGTGTAGGTGTGTGCGTGTGTGCATGCACGTGTGAGTGTATGTGTGTGAGTGTGTGTGTGAGTGTGAGTGTGATGTATATGCACATATGTGATCAGGTCCTCCTGCTTAGAGACCAGAGAAGGATATCAGGGACCCTGCTGTATCTCTCTGTGCCTACTCCTTTGAGACAGGGTCTCTCACTAAACCTGGAGCTAGGTGCAAACTGGTGATCCCTTTGTCTCTGTCCTCACAGCGCTTCAGTTACAGGTGCGTGTGTGTCAATGCTCACCTTTTTCCCCGGGTGCTGCGGGTCTGACCTCAGTTCTCATTCTTGCACACCAATTACCCGCAGAATCATTTCTAGCACTCCAGGATGGGACTCTTACACAATTTACAAGTCTAACATTTCATGACTCTTGTGTTCTTGCTAGGAGGAGGTGCACATTCTTTCCCACCTCTGGCTTGAGACGCCTGCGCCTTAGTGTTTTGCTCCCAGTCCGATCAACACATCGACTGGGTATGTGTACCTCCTAGTATGGCTGACCCTGGGATGCACAGCTGAGTATCTCAGATAGATCATCCCTTCATAGTGGAAAACTTCTGTTTCCTTGTTTGGAGGCAAATTTCTGTCTTTCATATTAGTACAGCTTGGATCTGCTTTCAGCATGTCTGCCAGAGGGTTGTCTGCTGGGATCGCCACTGTGGCAGTGTTGAGGTGGTGGAATCTTTAGAGATGGGAGGTGGTCGGGGCTCTGAGGGATTAGAAGGGATTAATGTAATTTTGTGGAACTCCTGTTTGTAACCTTGACAGCAAGTTGTTATAAAAAGAACAAGTCCGTCTCCTTTGTGTCTCTTTGCTTCCTCTCTGACCATGTAATTCCCTCCTCCACGTTATGATGCCTTCTGCCGTGTAGCAGGAAGGGCTTCAGCAAAGGCCAAACAAGGGACCACTCAATCTGGGAGGGTCAGCCTCAACCCTCTCTCTTTAATAAAAGTCTAGTGTCCAGTATTTTGTTATAGCAACAGAAAATGGGCTAGAACACTTGGATTCTATGCCACTGAGGCTCAGAGTCCCCTGCAAAGGAAAGGATGCTAAACATGAACAATGGATGGAGCCGCTTAAAACGACAAGAAAGCCGTCTGGCCATGATGGCGCACGCTTTTAATCCCAGCATTTGGGGAGGCAGAGGCAGGTGGGTCTCTTGAGTTCGAGGCCAGCCTGATCTACAGAGTTCCAGGACAGCCAGGGCTACAAAGAGAAACCCTGTCTTGAAAAAGAAAATACAAGAAAGCGTGAATAGGCACTTAGAAGCAGCTTTTACTAAACCACATCTTAGCCTTCACTGATGACTGAGAGTGGGATGAAAGCCCATATTTCTGTCTTTATTTTGCCTGCCTGCCTGCCTGCCTGCCTGCCTGCCTGTCTGTCTGTCTGTCTTTCTGCCTGTCTGTCTGTCTGCCTGCCTGCCTGCCTGTCTGTCTCTTTTATTTTAACTGAAGGCACAGAGATGAATCATCCTCCCTACCCTTCCTTCTGGATTCTAGGGACAGCAGAACTGCAGGAATGAGCAGCCATGTCCACCTCACATGAAGGCAATTGTCCATGAGGGCAAAGGCAGTACTCGGGAGCAGATGTCATCATCTCCTGAGGATTGGCTTGCCTACACGAGCAATAAGGGCTTCTTCAGACCATCTCTCAGGATTAGAGCTGGGGCAGTGATCAAGGAAACCATAGCTAGAACAGGACTGCATGACCATGCTTGCCGCTGTCCTCCCTGTCTTCTTGTACTGAAGCCCAATGCTTGTGCCTGTACCCCAAAGACAGTTTTGGGGGTCATTAGACTCCTTTACTTGTATGATATGCACTGTGGCTACACTGAGTAAATCCACCCCTTTTTAAAATAATTGTTCATGTCTTTAATTGGTGGAATGGGTGGCCAAGTCTATCATGTTGGAACTTTCAGAACCCAGGCTTTTATCTGAAAATGTCTGGTTACAAGGATTACCTTTACATCTTACCCTTATATCTTCTGTAGACATTTTGTTTTCTTTTATCTTTATGTATATGGGTGTCTTGCCTGCATGTAGGTCTGTACACCATGTGTGCAGAGCCCACAGTGGTCAAAAGACGGTATCAGATCTCCTGGAACTAGAGTTGCAAACAGTTGTGAGCTGCATGTGGTTGCTGGGAATCAAACCTAGGCCCTCTGCAAGAGCAGCACATGCTCTTAACTACTGAGTCATCTCTCCGATCCCCGGCAGACGTTTCTTCCAAAGGAGTGGCTCTTGCTGTCCCTGCAGGCCAGCCTTCCCTGGGCCAGAACCTCTTTGTCCAGTTCTCCTCTTGCATTCATCCAAAGATGGTAACATTTTCATTAAAGTCTGATAGGCTTGCTTCTATGTCATCTTACCATTGACCTCTCATGAGTATTTCCCACTGTTCGCTCCAATAACTAAACCGTAAGGCAACTCCCTTCCTGCCTCAAGTTGTTTTGTAAGATATTTTTGTCACACTGGCAAAAGTCTAGTTGTATTATATTTATTATTACATGTTATATTTATTATAATGTAATACAGCGTTCAATATATGTAGAAAGTCTAAAAGTAATGCTAGTTCCTTCTTCCTTTTGCCATTTGCCATGTAATTATCAGTGCTGGCTACTTAAAAATGGCACAAAACAGATCCTCTATGCTTTGATTTTAATCCTTTTGTCATAGGCATTTATTTAATATTTCAAAATAATCCACAGACAGGAATTGTGTTTTCTGATATAATCCAAGACAACTTTTAAGAGATTCTTAAACAATACTTTAATTTTTTCCCTCTTACTAAACACCAATAATTCAATATTCAATTCTCATCTTCTTAAAAAAGATTGATTTTCATCATCTTGAAATATATGCACGTGTGTGGGTGTTAACACAGGTATGTACATGTGAGTGAAGGTGCTCTTCAGAGGCCAGAGGTGATAGATTCTCTTGGAACTGGAGCTACAGGGATTTTGAGCTGTCCAGTGTTGTGCGGAGAACCAAAATCAGGGCTCTGCAAATATGGCAAGCACTCTTAACTTCAGACCCATCTCTCAAGCCCCTCCCTGCCCTTATCTTCATATACTCAATAGCCAAACGTGTGCTTTCCCCTCTAGAGAATGGAGTTGCTACCGGAAGTCACACACATCAGGCTCTGTCACCCCACTTCTCCTATCCCTAGCGTGTTCTTCTCTCTGGCTCTAGTCTGTGGAATATGAGCAAAAGTGGCACATAGCATTTTCTAGTCAAGCCTCAAGGAGAAGCTATAATTTCTCCTTTCTCTTTTTCCTTCCATCAGCTGGATTCATTTGAAGATGAGGCCCTGGGGGAAGACGGAACTACAGGATAAAGGAAATTGGATACCTGAATCACAGCATGAAGAAAACTGACCAGGGGTCACATGTCTTGAGTGGCTAAGTGAATGGGAAATAATCCTCTATTAAATCTGGGTCACAGATTTTTGGTCTATTACTCTTTCTTACGTTACCCTAGTTAATACAGAAGTTTGTACCCTAAAAGATGTACAGCTATAATAAATGACTGTTATTGGCTGATTATTTGGGTAGCACTGCACAGGGACAGATGGTGTCTGGAGTGGAACAGACTTTATTATGCTTTGGGAAAACATGCAAGCTTCCAAGAGAGAAGGCAATCAGCTGTTATGTCTACAAACCACAGCAATGACCAGCATGGGAAGACGGGATATGCACTAGTGGCATCTATATCTTGGTGGTAACCAACAGCTCTCTAATGGGACTTATGGCTCACTCGATAGGAGGGTGTTCATGCCTAGTACTGTAAACCTAGAAAACTACTTATCGGTGGCAGGGCGGAGCTTAGATGGGAACTTACCACTGCCACTTTTCTCAACCAGTATTCTTTCTAACTGAATTTTAAATACATACCCTCATACTCACAGAGAAGAGTAGCTCTCATTCTTCATCAAAGAAGTGCCTTTTTTTTCAGGAGATGGAGATCATTATAGAAAGACATAGATGATCAAAATGCAGAGAACAAACTGACTCGGGGAGTCCAGCCCCAGTTAATACCTCTACAACACAACCCTTCCACCCAAGGCTCAGGGAACACCTAGGAAGAGGAGTTGGAAAGGCTGTAAGAGCCAGAAGACTAGAGCAAACACTATGAGATTATACCTTTCCTTTTTAACAGGGAAGGTGCATCCATTAAATCTCAGCAATATGGTCACCTACACAAGACCTGAATAATGACAATATGGATGGAGGAAATCTCATGGGGCCCCACCCAGGTGAGGAGCTATAGGCAATTAATGACTGCTGAGAAAGGGAGAATCAGTCTTCCCCAAGGATGAGACCCATAATTGGTTATCAAATACCAAGAGGTTAGCCCTAAAAGCAGGTACATATATGTAACTCTAAATATACTTGACAGGTTGTATTTAAATATTTATATCTATGCATACATGTAACAATAATAATTAAAGAAAAGGATGGAGAGGTGAGGGTAGATCTGGGAGGAGTTAGAGGATAGGGGGTAAATAAGACCAAAATAGATGTGAAAGCCTCAAATAATGTAATAAAATATTATATTAAAAACTATTCTTATGATCACATGAAAGACAGGATGCATTCTTCCAATGGATCAATAGCTTCTATAAAGTCACAGTTATTCTTTAAAATTTTTAGATTGTATGTGTGTATGTATTTGTAGGTGTCACAGTATAGGTGTGGAGATCAGAGAACAACTTTGAAGAGTTGGTTCTCTCCTTCTACTCTATGAGTGCTGTGACTAAACTCAGATCATCAGGCTTGGTAGCCAGTGCCTTTACTCACTGAACCATCTCATCAGTCTAAAACTCTTCCTTCTTAATAGGACCTTTTTTCTTATGTGGGCTGACAAAGGGGTAGGATATTTTCTTTCTTTAGACATCTGCTTTTTGTGAGGTCAAGGCTGGCCTCTAAATCATCTTGCCTCAGCATCCTAAATTCTGGGATTACAGACATGTACCACCATAGTGGGACTGTTTTCTTCTTCATTTATTTTAATAAAAAGGTTTATTTATGTTTATTTTTCATGTAGAATGTCTTGTCTGCATTTATGTCTGTGCATCACGTGCAATCAGGACCCTCAGAAGATCCCTGGGATCTGGAGTTTTATGAATGGTTTTTAGTCACCATGTGGATGCTGGGAACTGAAGCCAGGTTCTCTGCAAGAGGACTCATTTGTCTAGCCCCTGTTTTTATTTTAATTTTCAAAATCTACTTACTTGTATGTATGTGTGTATATGTGTGTAGGGGCGTGCATGGAGGTCAGAGAGAGAGAGAGAGAGAGAGACAGAGACAGACAGACAGAGAGAGACAGACACAGACAGACAGAGACAGAGACAGAGAGAGACAGACAGAGACAGAGACAGAGAGAGACAGAGACAGACAGAGAGAGACAGAGAGAGAGAGACAGAGATGCATTGAGGTCAGAGTTGGTTCTCTCCATGTAGGGTTCTGAGGATTGGACTCAGATTATCAGACTTGATGGCAGATGCTAGGGGGTAGAGCTTGTAGGTTAGTTACAGAGTACTTGGCTGGCATATTCAAGGCCTGTGTGTGTGTGTGTGTGTGTGTGTGTGTGTGTGTGTGTGTGTGTGTGTGATGTTTTAGTGCTAGGAACTGAACCTCAGTGGTATATGCTCTACAACTGAGCTACATTATTAGCCCATGTGAAACCTTAGTGTCTACCTAAAATACTATTTAGAATTTTCTTTCAAAATACAAATAGCCCTGAGAAAGTGATCTTTGATCTTTGCCTTTTATCTTTGGGATTTAGAAAGCCACACTAGGAAACAGTTTGTAGGGATGAGCATGGTAAAGCCAGTCTGTAATTCTAGCACTTGGGAGATGGAGGCAGGAGGATCAATAATTCAAGGTGCTCTCAGCTACACAGCAAATACCACTCCAGTCTGGGGTACACAAGTCCCCAGCAAAACCTAAGCGAAAACCCTCAAAACCAATTTGTCTATATGAGAAAACAACATCTTTAGAGAAAATTAATCCAATTGCTTCTCAGAGTCCCTTTGACTAAGATCAAGTGTAGAGAAAATTAATCTAAATCAATTTCTGAAAAAGAATATCTCTAAGTCATTTCATTAATCACTGCACTGCAGCTGCTTCTGTTTTAGTTGGGAGAAATCAGGCTATTGCATGTAGGGAAGAGACAAAGGAGGAGAAAGAAGACAGCCGTATGAAAAACTGCTTAATAAAAAACACCGTATATATTTGGGTGCTGGCACTAAGTCCCTTTCTCTGGAATATACCCCCAAGGACCCTTCTTGCAGCTAGGAGGGCATAGACTGTCCTCTAGGGCAGATAAGAGGAGCAACGCTCACCTCACCTGAGATGAGCCAGCCCATCTGACCCTTCCCTTGGACCGGATGTGGGGCCAGCCTCGTGAGAGTCCTGCTTAGCTGCACGAGCCTATCAGTCATGCCACATCAGGTCTGGAGCTGGTTTATGGCTGAGAAGAAACAGCCAGAACGACGGGAGAGCGGGAATTGGGAATAAACGAAAGGATCTGGTCCACAGAGATAAGAGTGGGGCAGATATTCAGAACAGAGCAACACAGAGAGGCCACACAGCTCTGGGATTTACGGAGCGTGGCCTCCGACTGACAGTTTACCAATTCCTGTCCTCAGCTCCCATGTGGCTGCATTCAACGGCCCTTTCACGAGGTCTAGGGCCCTAAAAACTAAGCCTACTTTCAAAACCTCCGAGTCAGCTGAGCCAGTTGGTGTTCCTTCCAAATGAGGACTTGGTAATGATGCGGTCAGTGGCTGAGTCAATTTAAATAAAGTCTCCCAATCAAACGTGCTTACATACCAGCAACCACTAGCAGGGACAGCAGTCATCCAAAGTCCACCTCTGCCTGGGGACAGGGGACTATCAAACCTTCTGGTACTGGAGCTATGCCACCCCCACCTTCACCCCTGAGCTCCCATTGAGGGTCTGGATTCCATGCTTGCCAAGGGATCCCATTCCTGAGAGATTTGAACTGATGGCTTCAGATTTTCCCTGTATCTGCTACACCTCATCAAATAAGCAGATTTTTAGATGTTCTCCTGTTCAGAAAATTTTGGATTTGGTGTGGAGTGGACCTTTTTTGCTTGCTTGATTTTTTAAAAATAAATTTTTATCTAAATTAAAAACAGTCTTATTTTACATACCAATCCCACTTCCCCCTCATTCCTGTTCTCCCATGCCCCCCACCAATTCCCTACCCACCCCCCATCCACTCACCAGGGAGGGTGAGGCCTCCCATGAGGGACCATCAAATTCTGTCACATCATTTGGGGCAGGGCCTAGGCCCTCCCCATGTATCTAGGCTGAGAGAGTATCCCTCCATGGGGAATGGGCTCCCAAAGTCCATTTGTGTTCTAGAGATAAATATTGGTTTCACTGCCAGAGACCTCATAGACTGACCAGGTCCCCCAATTGACACCCACACTCAAGGGACCTAGTTCAGTCTTATGCAGGTTCCTCAGCTGTCAGACTGGGGTCTGTGAACTCCCACTTGCTCAGATCAGCTGTTTCTGTGGGTTTCTCCAGCATGAGCTTGACCCCTTTGCTCATCAGTCCCAGTTTCCAGGAGTTCAACTCAGTGATTGACTATGAATCTCTGCTTCTGCTTCCATCAGCTACTGGATGAAGGCTCTAGGATGGCATATAAGGTAGTCATCAATCTCATTATAGGGGAAGGGCATTTAAGGTAGCCTCTCCACTATTGCTTAGATTCTTAGCTGAGGTCATCCTTGTGGATCCCTGGACATTTCCCTAGTGCCAGGTTTCTCTTTAAACCTATAATGACTCCCTCTATTAAGGTATCTCTTTTCTTGCTCTCCTCTATTCTTCCCCCAGCTCAATCTTCCTGATCCCTCATGTTCTCCTCCCCTCCTTCTCCTCTCCTCTTTCTTCTCCCTCCCTCCCAACTCCCCCAAGATTCCAATTTGGTCAGGAGATCTTGTCCCTTTCTCCTTCTCCAGGGGACCGTGTATGTCTCTGTAGGTTCCTCCTTGTTTCCCAGTGTCTCTGGGGTTGTGAGATTTTCTCTATGTCTGATATCCACTTATGGATGAGTACATACCATGTTTGTCTTTCTGTGTCTGGGTTACCTCCATCAGGATGGCTTCTTCTAGTTCCATCTATTTGCCTGTGAATTTCAAGATTCATTGTTTTCTACTGCTGAGTAGTACTCCATTGTGTAACTGTATCACATTTTCTTCATTCACTCTTCAGTTGAGGGGCATCTAGGTTGCTTCCAGATTCTGGCTATTACAAATGATGTTGCTATTGAACATAGTTGAACAGATGTCCTTGTGGTATGAATGTGCATCTTTTGGGTATATGCCTAAGAGTGGAATTGCTGGATCTTGAGGTAGACTGATTCCCATTTTCCTGAGAAACCACTATATTAATTTCCAACGTGACTGTA